TACAAAATTACAAAATAGATTGAGACAGTCTCTTCACATTATAGCAAAAATTAAACCCACAAAGTTGGAAACAAAAGAAATAAACCTACTATACAGATATAATCTCATTACCTTAGGCCTTGCTAAGCAGCAAAATTATGCCTAATATTTAATGTTTAATAATGTTTTACAGAACTGACACACACACACAACAATCGAGGTATACAAGTTCTGAAAAAAGGTCAAAAAATGGTCTGGATGCACTAAGTGTTGCTATAAAAATTATAACACCTGTTACCATAAAGCATAGTTTGTGGTTACAATATTGTTATTATTAATATTCAGATCAGGAGATAGCTCAATAATGTGGATAAACACCTTCCATGAGGTGTTTATGATAGAAGGTGTCTGTGGAATTTGGAAATGTATAATGTTTACAAATATCGTGGCTTCCTTGATATTGTTGTATCAGGCTGAAACCACCAAGACTGTCAAGAATGTATAGGCATAAGAAGGTACCATCTTCTATCGCTCAACTAGCTCCCGATTGTTAAACACATGTTTAGGCTGGTAATTTATGGCTACTATTAGTTAAAACAGATTGTTATTAATTAAAGTTCCCTCATAAATTAATTATTATCCATTACATGTCACCAAGCCACAATGACGTGACAGTACACATAGCCTTATAATAGTTGAGGCTCGTATAGCCAGCTCCTCCCCTTTTGAAATTTGGCCGATTGCATTGGACGTAGTCTGGACATGCCCCTTCTGCAGAAGGGGCGTGTCCAGACTACATTGGACGTCAAAAAGGGGATGAGTCTAGCTCTAATATACTACTACTGACATAATGTTAAGTTTAAGATCTATCAATAATTTATATTATACAAATTTCAATCCTGACTTACAATGGACGTTAGTCTTAAGATCCCTGCAACAAATCTCCAAAAGTATTCCTTTGCTTTTTCTTTCTTTTGTTCAACAGGGTTAGTTTTGCTCGATTCCATGTTAGATCTAGTTTCTGATAGAGCTGCTACGTTGAGAATGCAGTCATCACCTTTTTCTCGATAGCCATCTTTTTGTTTTAGCTCAATTGAGTCAGGGTTTTCACTGATCATGAGCGCTGCTTTTTTAGAATTTTACATAGCAACTACTGGAATGTGGGATCACACATGGTGATACTATACTGATATGATACCGACATGATTAATGATAATGAATATTAATGAACAAAAATTGATTGTAAATTACGGAAAATAAGTAGTATAATTGCTTTGTCAGTATTGTTATGTACTACATGTATATTATTATTGTTATTAAGCTGCTTCATGAGAGCAGAACCTCTTCTTGATTGGCTCTCATTGCAATATTGTGGAACACAGTTGGCTGGTGTTTTTGATGTATGTGATGACTCACTATGACCATTTGAAATAGTTCAAGCAAGGTTCCAAGATGAGATCCCCATCAATATACAATAGTAGTTCATATTTATGACTTATGATGGATGCCACTGTTAAGACTGATCCCTTTAAAAAATCTTAAAAGCAATTTTATTGAACTTGAGTAATTTTTTCCAGACAAATGTTGTAACTCAACTGACAGTGAGGCACCATTATAGGTGGTATGATGGTCAGTTATAAAATGAATTTGAATAGCTCATTCACAAAACAATAATTGTCTAGTTCACTTGAAGATGAGTATCAAAGCACTATTCCAAAGATCTTTTTGTATAATAGTTAATACACTTAAAAATTTGCATTATGAATAATAGCTTGAATTCTAGAATGATGAATGCAATAAAATAGTATATAGTATAGGCATAAGAAGAAGAATACAAGAATAGCTAAATAGATAACTCTTCTAGCATAATTCAGTAAGCAAGTCATATCAAATAATTAGAAATAGTATCATTGAGATAAAATATTAGCAACCACATTATATGCAGCCCAACTCAAGTTATAATTTATAAATAATGGTGTTAAACAATAAAAATTGTATCAACTTTGTCATTATCAGTGGAGGAAATTTTAGTTTGAACAGCACAAAAGAGTTCTTTCTTGTTGAATAATATCAAAGCTGCAAAAATAAACTGTGAAAGATTAATAATAGAACTATTTCATTCATAAAACTTACAAAAATATAGTTAAATGGATTATTTTCTGCCTTCATGATAATTGTTATATCCAATATTAGTACAAAAAGACAAAACAAACTCTCATCCTAAAAATAATAATATAATTTTGAACATAAAAGAAAGTAACTCACTTTTGTTTTAACTCCAATCATTATTAATACAACAAGAGCATACATGTTTAGGAAAACTGCTTCAATACACCAATACAAATTGTTAGGATTAGCGTAGATGATCATGACAAAAGCACAGTACACAAACTGCAGAAGAAAGATAAGAATTAAGACTTAATGCTATGCTAAAAGTATAAACAGGCACATTACTATATGTAAAGTTTCTTTAATTGACTACATTCGGCTACAAAGACTATAGTGAAGACTGGAGTGAAGCTCGCGGCACCACGCGGCTGCACAGTATTGACCACGCCTTTCATGAATATCATTATCACGCACGTAAAATAACGCATTGTGACGTATGTTGCTTTCGTCACACATATTTTAAATTCCATGCAACTGCTTCCACTTCCGGTCCATTCTCAGTTGGGACGTAGTATACTTGTGGTGCATCTTCATGACCTACGAGACTACTGTGGTGATACATGTACAGTGTAGCCTCTATATATAACATGCATACTTTGGGACAAGTATTATAGTTATTCATAAATAACAAGATAGTGATGAAGAGTAAAGTCCAACATACACTAGGCTAATGGCATTTGTGATTACTTTGATTTTATAAGCAAATAGCATCTGTGGTTAGTTTAATCTTGTAAGCAAAATGTTGCCAGCTAGTAACAAGGAACATGTTGCTTGATGCATGTTTACCACAGCAAACAAATTTTGTTGAGGAGTGTCAAACAGTCAATATTGTTGCAGCCATTAATAATAACAAAGATAGTGTGGGTTGTGTTCTGCATGATAGTTTGTGGTTTTATATTGTATGATCATTTGACAAGATTTTCTACAATCAGAACTCTAAATTTTTTTCTTGGCAGGTGCTCAGTCGCTTCCACAATTGGGCTGGCACCTTTAATTGACCCCAGACACACTTACTGCATGATATTCTAATAACTCTAACATGCACCAAATTATCCATTATGCTGCTATATGTAGCTTATAAAATACTATATAGCAAAAAGTCTTGGAGGGAATTAAATTTGGTGAATCGGCGTTTTGATATCAATTCGCCAAAATAAAAATTCAGCATTTTCAGCACTTATATGCATGCTCAATGGCACATGGCCACAAATGTGCCAAATTAAAATCTGCCAATCACCTAAAATTTATCATTACCCTTATGTATTGTAAAATTATGATTACTATGTACTATTATTATTATTGTCAGTATGCATTATTATTATTATACTGTTGCTGGTTATAAATAGATTAATTAAGTTGTGTGTTTTTGAAAAGAAGAGAACTTATATATGCACATTCATGTACACATTACCAAGTTAATGATTGCATATTTCACATGGGGGCATTAAGGAGTGTTTGTGTACATAGATCTAGCTAAATTAAATTGTTTTGACAGTCTGGCAGGTCACTTTCCTTTAAAATAGTATAATTTGATAATCTATACTGAATTCATACCAGGCAGACTGAAAATGATGCCAGTTAGCATCAACATGCATTGAATACAGAAACACTACAACTTTTAGCCACTAGCTATTTCAAAACAATGGTAACATTTGGGTTGAATAAAGTTTTACTATTGTAGCCTGTAGTATAGCTACCATTGATTCATGAATAACTCACAACTTACAATGGACAATAATGTTAGGCTTCCATTATTAACTAAACTCCACATATAATCTTTTAAAGACTTCTTTTTAACTGAACTAGCCAACACTTTTGTTTCTTCCTTGGTTCTTGAAACATAGCACCAAGCCTTGGGAGGGTGGATCTGGCTACCCGAGACAGCTGCATGAGAGATATCTTGTTTGAACTGTGCCTGCTGTGGTTTCTGTACTTCAGCTGAACCGCCAGCCATCATGATTGAAAACTACAGGGATCTTATATTATAGGCTAGCTTTTTAAATTACTATCAACACTTACTAGTTTAGTAGTAATCCCCCAGATCGAAAAATGCTCATCATAGTAATTATAGTACTAACTACCTATGTTCTAGCCTCATAATTAGATCTATAAATAATCATGATGTCAGATCATGTCACTTCCTCTATTTTAGCAGCAGTTATGTCACTAATAGTACCTGCAATTGACTCAAAAGCATCCAGCAAATAAACACGATACCATTTTCTCTTTTTATTACAGTAGAATATTCTTAAGTTGTAACTCAGCCTACTGGTCTCCGACTTCTCCACCTAGACTAGATACACTTCGTTATTTAAGGGAGGGTGTAGGCATAGTAAATTGCAGTATAGAATGCTTACAGTTTAGCTCATTGAATGGCAAACAGATTTTCTAAATAAAGCAGTCATGCATGCTTTATCAATCTACAATACAAAAAAGGAAAAGCTGTTCTGGGCAAGAATATTCAATAATAACTACTGGGCTATGTTAATCAATAGCTACTGCATGACAAAAATTAGAGTGTTACAGTATATAAAGTTCAGCAGACAACACTTACTAAATAATAGAGTCTTTCAAATGATAAAATTAGCAACGGATCCTTTTCTTTAATTTTCCTACGTTTCCATGTTCTCAAAGCAAAGAAAGCATTCACACCAACCAGTATAGCCACCATGCATGCTCTTTCAAATATCTAGGAAATAAAATGGGCACAATTTTAATAATAATTAATTATTTTGTTATTACAATTAATATCATTGTCATTCAGTACTAAAAGGTAAAAAAGGATTAGAAAGTGCAAGGAAAAGTCTGTATCAGGAAATTTAAGGTCAACTTGAAAATTTTCATAATCACGAAACAAAACTTCTAAAGTATTATGTCGATATGAGCTTAAATGAGAAATGTATAATTTTATTGCAAAAATTAAGTGGATGTACTTATAGACTATGATTATAGGAGAGAATTGTTTATCATTGACTTACCACATGCAGAGATCTCAATACCAATAGCATCAAATTTGGTGGCATCAATGATACAAATATCATTCTGTAGTAAATCCACTAGAGGCTCCCACAAGGAGAACAACGGGTGTGATGGTCAGTTATAAAATGAATTTGAATAGCTCATTCATAAAACAATAATTGTCAAGTTCACTTGAAGATGAGTATCAACGCACTGTTCCAAAGATTTTTTGTATAATAGTTAATACACTTTAAAATTTGCATTATGAATAATAACTGGAATTCTAGAATAATTATAATGCAACAGAATAGTAGTATAGGCCTCAAGAAAAAGAATATAAGGATAGCTAAATATAGAACTTTTCTGGCATAATTCAGTGAGCAAGGCATATCAAATAATTTGATATAGAGTCATTGAGATAAAATATTAGCAACCACATTATATGCAGCCGCCCAACTCAAGTTATAATATATAAATACCGGCATTAAACAATAAAAATTGTATTATCTTTGTCATTGTCAGTGGAGGGAGTTATAGTTTGCGGAATAGTACAAGAAGGTTCTTTCTTGATGAATATTATCAAAGCTGCAAAAATAAACTGTGAAAGATTAATAATAGAACTATTTCATTCATAAAACTTACAAAAATATAGTTAAATGTGTTACTTTCTGCCTTCGTGATAATTATTATATTCAATATAAGTACAAAAAGACAAAACCAATTTTCATCCTAAAAATAATAATGTAATTTTGAACATAAAAAAGAGTAACTCACTTTTGTTTTAACTGCTGTCATTATTGAAACAACAAGAGCATACACGTTTAGGAAAACTGCTACACAAAGCCATAACAAATTGTTAGGATGAATGTAGATGGTCATGAGAACAGCACAGTACACAAACTGCAGAAGAAAGTTAATAATTAAGACTTAATGATATGCTAAAAGTATAAATAGGTACGTATGCAAGGTGTCTTTAATTGACTAGATTTGGGTACAAAGACTACTTGTGGTGCTAGTCTCACAAACCATACAGGTCTTCATGGCCTGCGAGACTACTGTCAGTGGTAATACTGATACATGTACAGTGTAGCCTCATAATGGACACTTTGGAATAAGAATTATAGCTTCTTTTATAAGTGACAAGATAGCGATGAGGAATAAAGCCCAACATACACTAGACCATTGACTAGACTAATATAGCATTTATAACTACTTTATTTTGTAAGGTACCGTATAGTGGGAAATTTTGGAGGGAATTAAATTTGGCGAATTTGGCGTTTTGGTAGCCATTCGCCAAAATAAAACCTGCCATTTTGAGCCATTATACGCATGCTCAATGGCACATGGCCACCAATTCGCCAAATTAAAATCCGCCAATCACCAAAATTTAGCAATTTGCCAAATTTTAGTCCCTCCAAAATTTCCCGCTATACGAATAACATCCGTGGTTAGTGAAATGTTGCTATAGCAACATTTTGCTTAGACATGCTGATGATAGTTTATAATAAACATGCTTATATTTTGTGTTTACTTTGGTCTTATAAGCAAGCAGGTTTATCAATCATACATCAATTATTAATAACCTGAGAATTGCTATAACACTGTCTTTTCAGTGATGAATGCCTTGAATGGCCATTAAAAATAACAATGATAGTGCAGGTGGTGTTCTGCTGGACAGTTTGTGGTTTTATATTGTATGACAAGATCTTTCTACAATCAGAATTCCAATTCTTTTCTTGGTGCTCAGTTGCTTCCACAATTGGGCTGGCACCTTTAATTATGCTGCTAGAATGCAGCTTATTATTCCAGGGTAGCTACAGGCTTATTGCATATTTACAGGAGGAAAATAAAGAGTGTTTGTGTAGATTCTACATAGCTCAAGGGGTCCGCAACTGTCTCCAAAAGTGTACGGGATTAAAAATCCACCCAGATTTTGGCTGGATTATTGGATTTTATGTTGGATTATTGGGCTTTCTACTGGATTTTTTTGGATTATTTAGGAAGTGTATGGGATTTTTCTTAGTTGCGGGTCCCTTGACATAGCTAAATTGAATTGTTTTAACAGTCACAGTGGCGGATCACTTTCCCTCAAATAGTACATAACTTGATATAACCTTGATATAACTATATTCACAATGGCTTAAATATACCAGGCAGACTGACTGAGAATGATGACAGTCAGTATCAAACATGTATTGAATTACAAAAACACTATTTAGGCTCCAACTATTTCAAAACAATGTAGGCAGCTTATCTAACACTTGGATTAATGCCGAGATTCATGCAGTAGTTTACTATTGCCCGGTAGACTAGTAGCTGCCATTGATTCATGCCACGGAATAACTCACAACTTACAATGGACAATAATGTCAGGCTTCCATTGACTAAACTCCACATATAATCTTTTAAAGACTTCTTTTTAACTGGACTAGCCAACACTTCTGTTTCTTCCTTGGTTCTTGAAACATAGCACCAAGCTTTGGGAGGGTGGGTCTGGCTACCCGATATCGAGACAGCTGGATGAGAGTTGGCCTGTTTGAACTGTGGTTTCTGTACTTCAGCTGAACCGCCAGCCATCATTGAAAACTACAGGGATCTTATAGTATAGGCTAGCTTGTTAAATTACTATCAACACTTACTACTTTAGTAGTAGTCCCAGTCCCACAGATCGAAAAATGCTCATCGTATTCTTAGTAATTCTAATCTCATAATTTGTAAAGACCTGGGGGCGTAGCCCCCAGGTCGTTCCTATAATCACAGATAATAGAGTAAACTCTAATCTAGAGTAAACTCACTTTCATTTACTTTATTATTTCTATTATCTTATTATAGATAATAAAGTAAACTCTATTATCTAGAGTAAACTCATTTTCGATTTAAGTCTCTCTCCCACTACAAACTGTATGAAGGTGAAAAAGTTTCTATGGAAACATTTTCTCAACTCTTATAATGTTGACCACCCATGCACCTATCACTTATCATGTCCATGTGATAAATGTTCTCACTCCCCCCAAAACTCCTAATTTTTCCTCATTTTAATATTATGTTCTGTTTTAAATTTAAATTTAATTTTTAATGTAGTGTAATTAATTTAATCTTAGGCTCTCTGATTCGGTCATTGAGTCCTTCAGAGACACCATTACCAACTTTTGCTTTTTATTTGTTAACTTTGTCTTTGTCAAGTTGATATTATTATTATTATTATTATTATTATTATTTGCTCTATTATTATTTCTATCTATAATTATAGATAATCATAGATGATCATATATATAATAATCATATAATCATAGGGGAGTGAGAGGGATAGCAAAATTTCTTGCTTCAAGAAATACACAATTGATTGTACGTTTATGCATCAAAAATGTAATAAAAGAATTTCTTTATTTCATAAATGATGGCCTAAAACATGCACTAAACGGGGGTGATTTTGAAGCCAATTTTTAAAGAACCCATGGTTTTTATAGCCTTAGATACTTTTCAAAAATTGGCCACTTTTAAATAGGGCTATAACTTTAAAAATTGAAGTTGGAATCAACTTTTACACAGCATCATATGTAATAAAATTTGGCCGAGTAATTATGGAGCTATGTTTTAGAAAATACTATGCGCTATAGCCTTAATCAGGTAAATATCAACTGATTCTTTTTAAAATGCTCATAACTTAAGAATTATTAGTTGAAAACAGCTTAAATGTTCTACATAGCGTTACTACATCAATATGCATCAGAAAATGTAATAAAAATTTGGGCCAATTTTTGGAATAACCATGGGCCTTGGGTATTGAATCAGCTCAAACTTCCTACACAGCATAAAAACATGATATGTATCAGAATATGTATTAATTTGTGTAATAATTGAGACTGTATTATTAATATAAAATGACTTACCAAAGTTTGTGGCATGCACAACATGACAAACAATTTACGGGTTGCCAGTCTTAAAATCCCTTATAAGTCTCCAAAAAATGCAATCTTTATTGAAGCCTGCTTCTTGACAGGATTAGTCTCCCCAATTCTGGAAGCAATTCTTGGTTTCCGGAAGCAGAACAACTGCATTAAAGCTGAAATTGAGTAATTTTTTCTAGACAAATATCATTCTGTAGTAAATCCACTAATGAGGCTCCCACAAGGAGCTAGAACAACGGGTGTGATGGTCAGTTATAAAATGAATTTGAATAGCTCACTCATAAAAAAATAATTGTCTAGTTCACTTGAAGATGAGTATCAAAGCACTGTTCCAATGATCTTTTTGTATAATAGTTAATACACTTAAAAATTTGTGTTATGAATAATAGCTGGAATTCTAGAATAATTATAATGCAACAGAATAGTATATAGTATTAGGCATAAGAAGAAGAATACAAGAATAGCCAAATAGAGACTGAACTCTTCTGGCATAATTCAGTAAGCAAGGCATATCAAATAATTAGAAATAGTATCACTGAGATAAAATATTAGCAACCACATTATATGCAGCCGCCCAACTCAAGTTATAATATATAAATACCGGCATTAAACAATAAAAATTGTATTATCTTTGTCATTATCAGTGGAGGGGGTTATAGTTTGAATAGTACAAAAAAGTTCTTTCTTGATGAATATTATCAAAGCTGCAAAAATAAACTGTGAAAGATTAATAATAGAACTGGGGCTATTTCATTTTAAAAACTTACAAAAATATAGTTAAATGTGTTGCTTTCTGCCTTCATGATAATTATTACATCCAATATGAGTACAAAAAGACAAAACCAATTTTCATCCTAAAAATAATAATGTAATTTTGAACAGAAAAAAGAGCAACTCACTTTTGTTTTAACTGCTGTCATTATTGAAACAACAAGAGCATACACGTTTAGGAAAACTGCTACACAAAGCCATAACAAATTGTTAGGATGAATGTAGATGGTCATGAGAACAGCACAGTACACAAACTGCAGAAGAAAGTTAATAATTAAGACTTAATGATATGCTAAAAGTAAAAATAGGTACGTATGCAAGATGTCTTTAATTGACTAGATTTGGGTACAAAGACTAGAAATCTACTTGTGGTGCTAGTCTCACAAGCCAGGTCTTTATGGCCTGCGAGACTACAGTGGTGATACTGATACATGTACAGTGTAGCCTCATAATGGACGCTTTGGGATAAGAATTATAGCCTCTTTTATAAGTAAAAAGATAGCGATGAGGAGTAAAGCCCAACATACACTAGACCATTGACTAGACTAATATAGCATTTATAACTACTTTATTTTGTAAGCTAATAACATCCGTGGTTAGTGAAATGTTGTTATAGCAACATTTTGCTTAGACATGCTGATAATGGCTTATAATAAACATGCTTATAATTAATCTTGTGTTTACTTTGGTCTTATAGGCATGCAGGTTTATGACAACAAACAATTATTCTTAAGGAGTGTCATCATGCATGCAGTCATACATCAATTATTATACAATCACCTGAGAGTTGCTATAACAACATCTTTGCAGTGATGAATGGCCATTAAAAATAACAATGATAGTGCAGGTGGTGTTCTGCTGGACAGTTTGTGGTTTTATATTGTATGACAAGATCTTTCTACAATCAGAATTCCAATTCTTTTCTTGGTGCTCAGTTGCTTCCACAATTGGACTGGCACCTTTAATTGAGCCCAAACACACTCACTGCATGATAGTCTAATCACTATAATGTGCACCAAATTTTACATTATGCTGCTAGAATGCAGCTTATAAAATAGTATTATTATGAGGTTACTATACACCAGGCAATTCTATTGCTTGCAACCTGTGGTTACTTTGATGTTGTAAGCAATATGTTGCCTAGAATAGAACAGCTTTTTATTCTAGGCAACAGTGTTGCCTGAAGATCAAAGTAACCACAAATAGCCTCCAATAGTAACAATGCTATTGGAGGCAATTTGTGGTCACTTCGATCTTCAGGCAACACTGTTCCAGGGTAGCTACAGGCTTATTGCATATTTACATGGGGAAAATAAAGAGTGTTTGTGTAGATTCTACATAGCTCAAGGGGTCCGCAACTGTCTCCAAAAAAATACGGGATTAAAAATCCACCCAGATTTTGGCTGGATTATTGGATTATTTTATGGACTATTGGATTTTGGCTGGATTATTGGATTTTTTGTTGGATTATTGGGCTTTCTACTGAATTTTTTGGATTATTTAGGAAGTGTATGGGATTTTTCTTAGTTGCAGGTGCTTTGACATAACTGAATTGAATTGTTTTGACAGTCTCAGTGGCGGATCACTTTCCCTCAAATAGTACATAACTTGATACAACCTTGATATAACTATATTCACAATGGCTTAAATATACCAGGAAGACTGAGAATGATGACAGTCAGTATCAAACATGTATTGAATTACAGTAACACTATTTAGGCTCCAACTATTTCAAAAAAATGTAGGCAGCTTATCTAACATTCGAATTAATGCTGAGATTCAGGCAGTAGTTTACTATTGCCCGGTAGACTAGTAGCTGCCATTGATTCATGCCTGAATAACTCACAACTTACAATGGACAATAATGTTAGGCTTCCGTTGACTAAACTCCACATATAATCTTTTAAAGACTTCTTTTTAACTGGACTAGCCAACACTTTCGTTTCTTCCTTGGTTCTTGAAACATAGCACCAAGAATTGGGAGGGTGGGTCTGACTCTGGCTACCCGAGACAGCTGCATGAGAGATGTCCTGTTTGAGCCGAGGTTTGAGCTCGGGTTTGAGCTGTGCCTGCTGTGGTTTCTGTACTTCAGCTGAGCCGCCAGCCTTCATTGAAAACTACAGGGATCTTATATTATAGGCTAGCTTGTTAAAATTACTATTATGACTTACTACTTTAGTAGTCGTCCCACAGATCGAAAAATGCACATCATAGTAAACTAATTATTCTATCCTCAATTCCTCAGAATTTTGATGATGTCAGATATGTCGCTTCCTTACGTCATTAAAATGGAGTGTTCTCTCTTTTGTCACTTTAGCAGGAGTTATCTCACTAATAATACCTGCAATTGACTCAATAACCTCAGTACATCCAGCAAAAAGACTAATAAACACGATACTATTTCCTCCTTTTATTATACTGAAATATTCCTGAGTTGTAACTTGTAACTCAGTAAGCGGTCTAAGATTTCTCCACCTACACACCCTTTATTACTTGAGGGAGGGTGTAGCATAGTAAATTGTAGGATAGAATGCTTACAGTTTAACTCATTAAATCATTCAAGCTAAACTGCAACTGGTAAACAGATACTTTCTATAATACAAAGCATTCATGCATACTCTATTGATCTACCATTTAAAAATAAAAACATGCTCTGGGACATGGGTAATGGGTATGAATATCTATTATACTATGGGCATGTGCTTATTGCCATAGCAACTTTTGATGTGCCACTGGTATTATATGCCAGGCCATAACATGCATGTTTTTAAGGCTGATTTACAATATTACGCTAGTCCTGACGTTACGTTGACCATAGATAATAGAGTACATACTCTACAGATATAGAGTTAAACTCTAATATCTATACGTTGACGCTGGAATAGAATCTGGTTCTATTCCAACCATCTATGATTCCAACGGAAAGCATGCGTCAAAAGGTCAAATCACCCATGCTTTTGATTAAAAATTGGCCAGTATGCTGGCCAAATGTCATATTGTGAATCCACCTTTATAGTACTGTTACTTGTTTTGACAGTGGTTTGACAAGCTAACCAATGAAGCCATAGATAAGAGTACTTAGAGTAGGGTATGCCAGCATGGGCCAGACGCATTGTGCCACAGTGGTATACTTTGGCCACATCATGTGGCCAAAGTATACCACTGTCAGGCGGGTGTTATGGGCTATAACACCCTTGAGACATAGATAGTAGAGTATCTATGCTTGAGAAAAGTGATCTCGGGCTACGCCCTCAACCACTTTTCTCACTGGTGTTATACGCCCATAACACCCGCCAGACAGGTAGATATCCAATACATAACAACTAGCTACTGGACTATGTTAATCAATAGCAACTGCATGACAAAAATTAGAGCGTCTATAAAGTTCAGCTGACAACACTTGGTAAATAATTATAGTTATGTTCTTCAAATGATAAAAATAGCAACGGATCCTTTTCTTCCATTTTCGTATGTTTTCCATGTTCTCAAAGCAAAGAATGCATTCACCCCGACCAGTATAGCCACTGCTACTCCAAATATCTAGGAAATAAAATGGGCACAATTTTAATAATTATTGATTATTTCATTATTGTTATTATTATTATCATTGCCATTACTAGAAAGCAAAAAAAGGATTAAGAATGTGTAAACAATTCTATTATCAGGTCAGCACAAACTTTCATAATCACAAAAGAAAACTTTTAAAATTTATGTATCTGTATGAGCTAAATCAAGAAATGTATACCATAAGGAGACAATGGTTTGTGAGTATTTAATTTAGCAAATTTTAGCGATTTTAAAAAATCGCTAACTTAAGTCTGTGCTAACTTTAATTTCTGATTAATTCGAATAATAACTTCATTGAAAGTGGGTGTAGTCACAATGAATAAAATGGCGGTCGTCGGCAAGTCTGAGCTTATTTGCAGCAAACGGTCAGCAAGATAATACTAAACTGCTGTCCAAAGACTTCTCTAGCAGTTAGCTTAGGTTAACAGATGACAGTCTTCTTTGTTCAGTGACTGCTTCTAACTGTAAGCAAGATAATTTTACATGTTAGTGGCTGTAGTCAGTGATGAAGCAATTTAAGCAAGATTAATGCAACAAGATCTACTGTATTTAGACTTGTGCAATTGCTTTGCTTGCTCATACATGTAGATCACAGCACATAATCTATAGCTTGCTTAGGTTTACCCCTTTAATTTTTTACATTCTTCTAGTAGTTATTGCCCTTGCCCACGCCGTAGGCGTATAGGCGAGGGTACTGCGCTCGTGCTGTCAGTGTGTGTGTGTGTGTGTGTTAGCAAAATTTTCAATCATGGATGATTTTTTGGCTGATGCTACTTTTTAGTCAAGCTCTTCAGAGCATTTCTTTTGCCAATTAGGTATAGAAAAAGTTGTTCTTTTTCTATAATAAACTCTTTTGTTCTTTTCCAAGGTGGCAAAAGTTGGCAGCATTTGCATGAAACAAGTAGAGCCTAACAAATCTGTGTAAAACTGTGTGCATGCCTAGACAAAATAAAGCTTTCTGTCCACAGTAAGGCCACATGGCACCATTTTACTAAACTGGGTGGTGCATATTTTGATTGAGCTGAGCCACACCTTTCATTCCAGCCACACCTTCAGTTGCTGCAGCAGCAAGCTGAGCTGAACAGAAAGTCAGAAACATTCTTTCCAATTTTTCTTGAAAAACCATAATTTTGTTGTGTTACACTTCACTGGTTGTGGCGAGAGCATGTGCTATAGTGCACTCGTTAATACCAAATGATCAAAAATGCTAAATTAAGTACCAGCCAAATGTCAGTTTCATGAAAATTGCTGAAATAAGTACACGCTAATAATTGTCTCCTTAAGGTAGTTTTATTGCAACATTGAGTGCATGTACTTATGAACTATGAATATATGAGAGAGAATCGTTTATCATTGACTCACCACAGAGATCCCAATACCGACAGCATCAAATCTTGCAGCATCAATGATACATATTAGTACAGCTAGAGACCACAATGCAACATACACCAAACAGACAATTCCATCCTTTATGAGGGAGAGAAAAGAGAGAGAGGGATATCAAAGTTTCTCATTATGAGAAATTTCAAAACTACATTTTTATACAATTGGTTGTACATGTACATGTACAATCAGAATGAGCTCAAACTTTCTACACAGGATGAGAAAATCAATATGTATTTTTAAAATGTAATAAAAGTTTGGGGTGATTTCGGAGCCATTTTTTTGAGAAAAACCATGGGCTATAGCCTTGGGTATTTTTCAGAATTGTGGTGTTTTCTTAAAATGGCCGTAAATGTAAAAATTGAATTCTGAATTAGCTCAAACTTTCTACATAGCATAAGTACATAAATATATATAAAAAATGAAATGAGAATTTGGGGTAGTTTTGGAGCCATTTTTTGGAGAAAAACCACTGGCTATATAGCCTTGGGTATTTTTCAAAAATTGGCCATTTAAAAAATGGCCATAACTCGAAAAATTGAAGTCGGAATCAGCTCAAACTTTCTACATAGCATAAGGACATCAGTACGTATCAGAAAATGTAATAAAAATTTGGGGTGATTTCAGATCCATTTTTTGAAAAAAACCATGGGCTATTATAGCCTTGGGTATTTTTCAAAAATTGGCCATTTAAAAAAATGGCCATAACTCGAAAAATTGAAGTCGGAATCAGCTCAAACTTTCTACATAGCATAAGGACACAAGTACGTATCAGAAAATGTAATAAAAGTTTAGGGTGATTTTGAAGCCATTTTTTGGAAAAAGCCTTGGGTATTTTTCAAAAATTGGCCATTTAAAAAAATGGCCATAACTAAAAAAATTGAAGTCGGAATCAGCCCAAACTTTCTACACAGCATAAGGACATCAATATGTATCAGAAAATGCAATAAAAATTTGGGGTGATTTCAGAGCCATTTTTTGGAAAAAACCATGGGTTATAATAGCCTTGGGTATTTTTCAAAAATTGGCCATTTAAAAAAATGGCCATAACTTGAAAAATTGAAGTCGGAATCAGCTCAAACTTTCTACATAGCATAAGGACATCAATACGTATCAAAAAATGTAATAAAAATTTGGGGTGATTTTGGAGCCATTTTTTGGAAAAACCATGGGCTATAGCCTTGGGTATTTTTTAAAAATCGGCCATTAAAAAAATGGCCATAACTCGAAAAATTGAAGTCAGAATCAGCCCAAACTTTCTACATAGCATAAGGACATCAATACGTATCAGAAAATGTAATAAAAATTTGGGGTGATTTTGGAGCATTTTTTGAAAAAAGCCTTGGGTATTTTTCAAAAATTGGCCATTTAAAAAATGGCCATAACTTGAAAAATTGAAGTCGGAATCAGCCCAAACTTTCTACATAGCATAAGGACATCAATACGTATCAGAAAATGTAATAAAAATTTGGGGTGATTTCGGAGCCATTTTTTGGAAAAAACAATGGGCTATCCTTGGGTATTTTTCAAAAATCAGCCATTTAAAAATTGGACATAACTCGAAAAATTGAAGTCGAAATCAGCTCAAACTTTCTACATAGCATAAGGACATCAATACGTATCAGAAAATGTAATAAAAATTTGGGGCAATTTTGGAGCCATTTTTTGGAAAAAACCATGGGCTATAATTTTTCAAAAATCGGCCATTTTTAAAAAACGGCCATAACTCAAAAAATTGAAGTCGGAATCAGCTCAAACTTTCTACACAGCATAAGGACATCAATACGTATCAGAAAATGTAATAAAAGTTTGTGGTGATTTTGGAGCCATTTTTTGGAAAAAACCATGGGCTATACTTGGGTATTTTTCAAAAATTGGCCATTTAATAAAATGGCCATAACTCAAAAAATTGAAGTCGGAATCAGCTCAAACTTTCTACACAGCATAAGGACATCAATATGTATCAGAAAATGTAATAAAAGTTTGTGGTGATTTTGGAGCCATTTTTTTGAAAAAAACCATGGGCTATACTTGGGTATTTTTCAAAAATTGGCCATTTAATAAAATGGCCATAACTCAAAAAATTGAAGTCGGAATCAGCTCAAACTTTCTACATAGCATAAGTACATCAATATGTATCAGAAAATGTAATAAAAATTTGTGGTGATTTTGGAGCCATTTTTTTGGAAAAAACCATGGGCTATACTTGGGTATTTTTCAAACATTGGCCATTTAATAAAATGGCCATAACTCAAAAAATTGAAGTCGGAATCAGCTCAAGCTTTCTACATAGCATAAGGACATCAGTACGTATCAGAAAATGTAATAAAAATTTGTGGTGATTTTGGAGCCATTTTTTTGAAAAAAACCATGGGCTATACTTGGGTATTTTTCAAAAATTGGCCATTTAATAAAATGGCCATAACTCAAGAAATTGAAGTCAGAATCAGCTCAAACTTTCTACACAGCATAAGGACATCGATATGTATCAGAAAATGTAATAAAAATTTGTGGTGATTTGGGAGCCATTTTTTGGAAAAAACCAAAAATACCCAAGGCTATAGCCTTGGGTATTTTTCAAAAATTGGCCATTTAAAAAAAATGGCCATAACTCGAAAAATTGAAGTCAGAATCAGCTTAAACTTTCTATATAGCATAAGGACATCAATATGTATCAAAAAATGTAATAAAAATTTGGGGTGATTTCGGAGCCATTTTTTGGAAAAAACCATGGGCTATAGCCTTGGGTATTTTTCAAAAATTAGCCATTTAAAAAAAGGCCATAACTCGAAAAATTGAAGTCGGAATCAGCTCAAACTTGCTACACAGCATAAGTACATCAATATGTATCAGAATATTATTTGTGTAATAACCGAGATTGTATTATTAATTAAACTTACCAAAAGTCTGTGTACATAGAAGTTCAATATAAAGACTTCAATGACAATGACAATGATGGCATACACAATCCAGCCAATGGCGACCATAATGTTGAACCATTCACCTCCTGTACGGTAATCGGCAGCATTGATGATGAAGAATATGGCTGCTAAAGGCTGTAGCAATGAATCAAGCAAAAAAAGTTAAAAATTAATTCATATTTTGTGGGCTGTTTTGCTGTATTTGTAATCAAAACCAGATCACAATTTTCACACAGCATATGGGTATTGATTTATATCCATTGCAAAACATACTGAGATAAGTATGAGCGCTTTTAAAAACAATAATATTAATGAGAATTAACTATGGGCAACAATCCAAAATTAGCTAAAATCTACAACTCTGCAATTCCTAATTGGATTTACCTCAAACTTCAAGTAAAGGCGAGAAAAGGGCATTAATATTATACATGTATAAATTGTGCTGGCTTGGTACAATATTAAGTAAAAGCTATGATTAGAAGAAATAATTACATTCCATGCATATAGCTGAATGATAATCAAATTTGGTGTGAATTAATTAAAAAGAAAATGTCCTCCTTCCTTCTCGAGTGTTCCTTTATGCTTCCCTTTTATGTGCCAACCCATACAATGTATATCACACATTTACTAAATTATCATAGAAAGACTTACAATAGATATTAGTCTAAGAATCCCTTCTATGCTTCTAAGATAAGTATGATCAAACCCAGCACCAATGCTCCCGCTAGGTGACGACTGACCCTCAGACTCAGTCGGGCCGGTCTCTGTTGTAGTAGCTGCACTGAATCCTCCAGTGACTGTTGTAGTATTAGACCCGTCCTCGTTAGTAGTCCTCGTCTCTTCGTGATACGCTTGTGGGGCGGCAGTCTCTTGTGGTGGACCTGGTGGTGGGCCGCCGGGGGCTCCTGGTCCGCCTGGAGTAGTCTGCCAGCTATACTGATAGTTATAGGAATATGAGGTCTGCTGGGCCATTGGGATCAGTAGAAAGCTCACTAACTAACCCTTTAAAGAGTAAGACTTCGACAAGAAGAATAAAAACAAAACTAAATTATTCTTCCGTGCAGAAAAGGTGTGGAGTCATGTGAAATCATTTCCTCTTTGAAATTGCATTAACCGCAAAATGAGCCCCTCCCTCACTGACTGGCTGCAAATGGTGAAGCCGAACTTCTTTAAAGGCTGTACCATACACCAAGAAACTTGTTGCATAAAACTCGAACTTCATCAAATAATATGTCTCAGGCTCCATTGTATAAATTGTATGGTAGACCTTAAAATCACAATTCTTTAAAATTTTACGTTAAAAAAATAAAGTGTCATAATGATAATGAAGTAACTCTCCATATATAGGTGTATTGCCAAAATAAATGTTTATTTTAAAGAATAAAGATAGCAACAGATCCTTTCTTTCCCTTTTCATATGACCTCGATGTCCATAAAGCAAAGAAAGCATTAACGCCAACCAGTACAGCAACAGCTACTCCAAATATCTTAATATAGAAATGAGAACAAAAACAGTATTCTATGGCAATAACTGTCATTGACATACTACTGATATTCCAAGTGCAACAGCATCAAACCTAGTAGCATCAGCAATAACTACCACAACTGCTAATCCTCAACACCCCACATATACCAAGCAAATAATCCCATCCTATAGAGGAAGAGAATAATTGAAAGAGGTGCAATATGTGTCCATATGCATGTCATTGCTTGATAATAGTGCTTTGCAAGTTGCACCCTATGAAAACCAGTGTTCAGACATTATTCATGAGATGGATGGTCTTAATTAAAATAGGAGAATCATGAATAGTGGTTACTGATCTCAACTATGAGTTCAAAGCAACAAAATGTCTTACCAAATTACATTGCACATGCACTATATCAAGTATAGAATGCCTTGGGGGCGTACTTTTAGCCAGTTTCTATTTAATTGTGCCATTTTGGTGTCAGTGCCCTTTGCATATTAAGGGAACATTTCATTGTCCATATAGATAGCCATACGGTTTATTTGTTAACTATACACTATTAGAGAATAATGAAAGATTAACTTACCACAAGTCTGTGTATATACACTCCTGGTATACTTCAATAACGATTGCAATGATAGCAAAAGCAATCCAACCAACTGCTACTAAAATGTTGAACCATTCGCCTCCAGTGTAGTAATCAGCAGCGTTCATGATAAAAAATATGAGAGCTAAAGGCTGTGTAAATAAATAGAACATAAATATTCATTTTGTTATTTAAAATCAACAGTTTAATGGTAAATGGTGTCAGATGGACAACTATATAAGACTACTGAGTGTTTTAAGCATCTAAATCAAATTAGACTATTATGACAAAATGAATCCTTACTATAGATTTTAGTCTTAGTATTCCTTCAATGCTTCAAATGTAAGTGTGATCAAAGCTGTTCTTCTTTTCAGTTGAAGCTCCTTCTTCTCCATCAGTTGCAGTCTCTCCAGCTACAGGAGCTTCCTTCTCTTCCTCACTCATTACTCACTGGAGTCTATAGATTGTCTACTATGATAGTTTCTACTGACACCTTTTGAATTTTCTTTCCCCATGTGGGTGGATTTATTTTTACCAACTACAATACAGAAATTGAAAAAAAATTGAAAACACACAGACCAATGATAGGTCCAAAGAACACAACAGTTAATTATTTATCTTTTCACTACTTGTGATTAACAACAATAATAATACAATGACAGTAACAATACATAATGATAATAATAATAATATGTAATAATAATAATACACAATAACAATACCATTTTAATGCATTCAGATCAGACATGAGGTGAGTGCTTGGGTACCACTGCCAAGTACTTGTACTTCGACCAATGGAACCATCTTTTCTACTCTTTGAAGTCTAAAACTCACTATTTCCCTCTCTTATCTTAAATTCAAAATAGACCATCACTTATGACCACTTCATTATTTATTTAAATTTACAAAGAAGATATCAAATACCTTTGAAGAACTTTTATAGAACTAAGGCCGAGTTAACAAGTTAAGGTGTAAATTGCAATGGACTGGTGAAGTCAGCAAAATTTATACTACACATCAGTAAACTTCTCATAATAACGATAGTGATAGTCCATATGCTGTTAAAAGACTTTTAATGTATAGTTGCAGTAAAGATCAAAGGCCTAACAGTTGTGATAAAACCCACAGAACACTCCCACCAATACCGCAGTGTGATATTATAAATAGCACACTCATTTATTTAATGTGCAGCAGTGTGATATCAGTGATAGCAGAGCATGTGCAATTTTTGCTGGAACTATACACTAAAACAATTAATACATGTGGCGTTGTGTGCTATCTGATTTATCTGCACTCGCTTCCGGTCTTGTCGCTAAAATAGCGCACTCGGCCTTCAGCCTCGTGCGCTATTTTTAGCGACTCGACCAGAAGCTTGTGTGGATAAATCAGATAGAACACGCTGCCCCATGTATTAACTATTACTTAGTACATGCAGCTAGAAAAGTTTTCAAACTCAATAGATGTAGGTAGACTCACTGACACTAAATTTACTACACTCATATTTTTATTAGATGCAACAATTTTCCAAAATAAAACCATATTTATGCTGTTAATCTTAAGTGAGTTTACATAATGGCACTTTTTGCATACATTTAATTGCTTAAAAGCATTTCTAAAATTCATATTCATGCATATAAGTAAAGTACTCGGAATGTATTTAAATACTTTGAAAAGTACTTCACATGCAGACAGACTTAATCATTTCATTTTCAACAGTTCAACCATTAAGATTTTGGGAAAATGTCTCACTTTCATCCACTCCAGAATTAAGCTCTCTTTTCCTCTTCCTTGGTTCACTGTCCCCGTACTATAGGACTTTAGAAAGGAGTGTTTTAAAAGGATAATCATACTCTTACCTCTTTAACGTCAACCATTACTTTTCAGTTCAAGTGACAAGTGTATAGAGTAGATCTATAGACTTGTCCTTTACAGTTCCACAGTTCCACCATGAGTACTGATCTCCCACGCATGTGCACAACCATTGGGGAGCATAGATTATAGGTGGGAGGCTGTTGCATTTCATCCACGTCTTACCAATTAAGATAACAAACTTAAAAGTTCTCAAAATCAGTTAAAAGAGTTTTGCAGTTTAATGATAAAACCACTCATAAGCAGTGATAACACAGGCAAGACAAAGTGCAATGAACCAAAAAATCAAAACAATAACACAGAAATAAAAAGGTAGGAAGAAACCTCGTAATTGAAGGCTAAGCTCTCTTCTCCTTCTCATAAAAATGAATCCAACTATCATATAAATGATTTAAAAAATAGAACTATAGTGTCCAATGCAAAGCACTAAAAATCCAAGCCCTAGTCCTTCAAGAAACTTTAGGACTTTTACACACCACCTAACTAACAAAGCATATTATAAAGCAATTGATGAATGCATTATGTATCATACCAATAGCGGATGAAGCTGAAGGAGGAGAATCAGGAGATGGTGAATGATTAATTTTGTCAGTTTCACTAGAAGTAGAAGTAGGAGCTATACAAATTATATTTTATATCATTTTATTAAAATAACTTACAAGGGCCTCCTTGTGAGTGTCTTAACCACATCCCTTCATTAGAACCTAAAGTAAAAAGTATTTGCTTATTTGAAAAAAGGCCTCCCAATCAAAACCAATTGAATATCAAGAGTAACTTGAACATCATAAAACAAGCAACAATAATATTATCCTAGCTGCCTGCAACATGACATTACACTACAAATACAAACAGTCATATTGATAACTTTTTAAATTTATACGACCAAAAAAGAGGTGAACATGCAACATGCACCCCCCACCCTGTGATAAAACTATCTACCTACATACATGTAGATCTACCTTCGTCCATTCTTTCTGACATAGTAATAAACCAAACGGAAATGTAGATCTCAGTAGCTACTGTATTACAGAGCTTTTCAGTTCTTGGGCAGTGCAACTTCAGGTAGGCAGCATATCATATTTCCACCCCTAATATAACTGAAAGAGGGTGAGGCCAGGCTAATAATTATTGAATATGGAATTAGACGTCACTGACTCACTATTTCAAATTATTTGTAATAGACCATGAATAGATCTACTTAATATAAAAATAAAATAAAGCCCCCTATAATGTTTCAAAGTGTTTTGGGACAAAAAAGGCACTGAGAATTATAACAGCACTAGTCTATAGACAGATCACAATTTTCACTCATTAGACAAAGGAATGTATTAATGTTGCTTCAAATTTCAAAATGCTCGTAACTCAAAAATTATTTGTTGGAAATTTGGTTTTACATAGCATAAGGACATCAATATGTAATCATGCAGAAAATGTAATAAAAATTTGAGGTGATTCTAGAGACATTTTGTGACAAAAACCATGGACTCTTGCCTTCGGTATTTTGATGTTATTTACCACGGTTTTGTGAGTGGTAAATCCACTTAAACCAATGCCCTATGATTCACTTGCATGGATTATATGCAAGGACTATGCCAAGCACAACAAAACGATGTTGCTCAAAAAAATTTTTTAAATCAGTTATTAGTATATGCTAGCAACAAAACAGGTTGCGGTTAAATGATAATGATAATCAATGCAATAACTACTCTAAAAATAATTCTAAAACAAATAAAAGTACATAAATAATCAAAAGAATGTAAAGAGGCAGGAAGAAACCTCGTAAATGATGGTCAAGCCCTCTTCTACTTATCATCACAATGAATCCGGCTATCACATAAATGCAAAATATAGGTGGAATCATGTATCCAATAGAAATTACTAAAAATCCAAGTCCTAGTCCTTCAAAATATTTCAAAACTTTAGTACACCATTTAACTATAACAAAGCAATATAAAGCAGTTTATCAATGCATTATATATTATACCAATAGTGGATGAAGCTGAAGGAGGAGAATTAGGAGATAGTAAATCATTAGTTTTCTTAGTTCCACTAGGAGTAGTAGGAGCTACACAAATTTAATTATATTATTTTTATTACAGAACCTACAAGGTCCTCCTTGTGAGTGCCTTAACCGTGTCTTTTCATTAGAACCTAGAGTACAAAGTATTTGCTTCTTTAAGAGAAAAACAATTAAAACCTCCCAATCAAGACCAATTAAAATTAATGAATATTTTGAGGTACCTATAGATAATTGTGTGCCAGTAATTTGCATGTTTGGTTCAGCATACTTTTGAGGGTCAGGCTCAGCTATAATTGTGAGAGGAAATATATCATAAAAATAATGATACTGGAATACATACCGTTACTCTGTTCAGTTGGTTGTGATGGCAATACACGATGTCGCCTTCCTATTAAAAACTTTTACACACAGAGAGGAATAAATGTATCAAAATTACTAACTGATATCATTAGCTACTGCAGGGTCTATCTTTTCTATGGCATTGCATAATGTTATCCAGTTTGCTCCTCCATATTTATCAACATCATCTACTCTCTGAAACCATTTTGAAATACACTGACTAATCCGGTCTTCAGCCCCAGGGTTGTTTGATTCAATATCATTCAGTGTACGATTATATGAGCCTAACTCCAAACCAAGGCTATGCCAGCTTATATTTCCATTCTTCTTCAGATAATTCAGTACTTCATTTAAGTTTTCGATCGTTAATGTACTTTGTGATACTATAACAATAATGGATGAAAACTTTAAAGTTTAAATTAGTTTGTCCAAATATCACAAAAATCGCTTCTCTAAAATAGCATGCATATAATACCATAAAATGCATATAACAATTTGAGCTGAACTGTTACCATATAGCAGGTATATTTCTTCTGGAAAAATGTTCATTCTAAGCAAGATTAGATTCGTCTTATTTTTGTATGAGTAGCCATTTTGCACATGTAGCAATGAGGAAATGCTTTTTTTTGTTTGAAAAATATTTGTTCCACAAGGAATGAGAATGAAAAGAACAAAATTAAACTTTGACAGAATATACCTGCTATATGGTAATCTACAATTAGTTAAAACCAAGAGTAACGTGAAAATCATAAAATAAATAATAATACCCAGCCTGCCACATGATGACATTACACTACAAATACAAACAGTCAAATTGAATAGCTTTCAAAATACCAAAAAAGGGGTAAACATGCAGTGTGTATCCACCCCACCCAGTGATAAAACCATCTACCTACATAGTCTACATGTAGATGTATCTTTCTCTACTCTTTCTGACATAGTAATAAACCAAATGGAAGCATTAGATCTCAGTACTGTATTACAGAGCTTTTTGAAGCAGAGTAGACAGCATATCTTATTTCCACCCCTAATATCTAAAGGAGGGTGAGGCTAGGCTATACTAATAATATTATATGTCACCAAGAAATAATTATCCACTCTTGATGTCACTGACTGGCTATTTCAAATTATTGTTAATAGAGTATTAATAGACCTACAATGTAAAATAAAAGCCTTCCCCTAATGTTTCAAAGTGTTTACTAGTAGTGTAGCAACCATGGACTGATCAATAGGTTATTTCCTAAATTTAAGACCAACAAGGCAAAAAATGTCACTACTAGACAGATCACAATTTACAAGAAATATTGAGATAACATTTTGGTTGATTTAGGAGTAAACCATGGGCTCTGGCATTCTTTTTAAAACAAATGGCTTATTTATAAAATGCTCATAACTCAAAAATTATTTGTTGGACTCAGCTCAAACTTTCTACAAAGCATAAGGACATCAATATGCATCAGAAAAATGTAATTAAAAAATCAATTTTCAAAAACCATGGGTTATATATAGCCTTAGGTATTTTTAAATTGGAAACTTTTCATGAAAATTAACTCAATAGTAAACAAAAAATATTGTGTATTGTGGTATACATAACTTCAGTATACTCTGGTATAACTATAATCAAAGCTAAAAGAATTGTTTTCTAACACAAAATCAAAATAAAACCTATCTATTATTAGAGTTTCCAAATAACTTGTCCATAACTTTGTTCATGAATGGTGTGATGATAGCAGTTACTATAGTTTGAAGAAGGTATCGTTTAGTAGCATCATCTCCAATAATCAAGATCACAATCATTGTGATAAAAATCCCAATAATAACTGCAATAAAAGCTCCAAATACTGTTATCTTAGAACTGTATAAAGTAACAGTAATACTTGCTATACTTACTTATAGTTACTTACCAGGTTTCCAGATGGAAAAGATTTCTGATAAAGTAACTAATACTATAAATAACACAGCTCCATAACCTACTAGAAGTGTACAAATTAGTAAAAGCAATAGCTACATGTTATAGTTACTTACTATGATAAGAATTTAAAAAGGCAAAATATCCAACTAAAACAAGAATGAATGCTCCAACTATAGTAGGGCCACACTGACTTTTTATTGTTATTATAAGTGCAGGTTTGGTGGTCACGTGTGAAGTAGCTGCTAATTGTTTGTTAAGTGTTTATTTATATTGTGTATACCAACTATGAATATGATTATCTCAAATACAGCACATCACAGGTATTATAATTATTGATAAAACTAAAGATATTGTAAATTAAAAGTTTAAAATTAGTCAGGTATCTTTCTCATTGTTGTGGGCAGTTACAGATTTATTAGGAGAGGTACAGCAGCATCTGCAAGTAACTTATGGTGTGATCATCATCTATTCATCACCGAACTCCCAACAGACAAGGATAAAAAGACTCAGGTTCATCAAATTGTGTCTGTAGTTCAAGTTCCTGTACTATATCAACTGCTTATCCTTCATTCTATCATTGTTCAAGTTGAGATCTTGGACTGTTAT